TAATCATAAAGTTTAGAGATATTTGATGCATCTATGAATTCCAATAGTTCTCATTTTTCAATTATAGCTTTCACAATAAATATTCCGCCGTTAAGTAGATACAGATTCAATTTCCATGTTGAAACTACTGTAGTTGCGGCTTGTTGTAATGGTCCCATGTTGCTAAATTTGGTACTCAAGTAGAGTAGTTAAGGCCAAACATCGCAATTGACAAGGCAACTACACTCTAACATGAATTTCTCGCCAATACTAGCACATGCAGAGCAAAGGCAGTAACAGTTAAGATATCCCAGAAGACATTGCTGTGATCGCTGTATACAGAATGGTACACTTGTTAGCCTTATCGGTGGTTTAATAGCTGTGTGACGCGTCAGCAACCAAAACCAGTTCATGCCTTGATATTGTAAATATTTATCTCTCTTGGCATCTGAATCTTGAGGACCTGCTTTTCATGTTACTTGATAAAAATACGGCTCGTAAAATCGTAAAATTACAATCCTGTTTGGATGTGTTTCGTGCGTCTGCGTTGTGTGTGTATACATATGGTAATTAAACCTAGTATGCTGTGACACGCTGAAGTATGAAATGATATGTTACGACGTGAATTTTAAAGTTCGATTAGTTTTATTGTTGTAGAAAATACAATCAATCCATAAGTCAATCTCCACAAACAACAAAGAAGCATGCCACAATCAACAAAGAAAAAACCAAAGAACAGAAACAATCACACGTTTCAGCTGAAAATCTATACTGTGCGATGAATAGTGGCGATAGAGCCGGCATGTGCAAGCCAACTATACTGTTTAGATAGTGTTGACTTGGTTAGATCTTTGTTCAAGTGCTTAAATGTGCAATTCAGTTTGCATTCTTATGCATTTTTTATCTGCTAGTTGCGAGCAGGTAGCAAGGACACATTTTACTATGCGGTTGTAATGGATTTTGTATGTGACTACTCTTAACTTTTGCGTCGTGTTTCTTGTGGATAGTAACGCCTTACCACGGCAAGAACACATTTTATTACTGTGTGAAATACGTTTACAAAAGTGTATAGGTTCTATTTGTTTGAAACGCGACCAATAAGTTACAAAATTGGCGAATGACGTCTTATTAGATGAAAGGTCGAGTTTAACTACCACTGGGTTACAACAAGAGATTACCATTACGTCTCTGAACATCTGCATAAACGCTAGACCTTGATGGTGATATATCACGGGCGTTTATCAAACAACGTTAAAACTCTCTACAATGAAATATACGTTGAAGCGTGGAATTTAATGTTGGTTATTTCTGAGTGTAACCTATACAACCTCCATCGATAGAATGTGCGGTTTGTTTGGTCATTTCATGGGATATAATCATAATGCACAATCTACAGCATTAACCAAGTGACCAGTTTCGTTGAAGCATTGATTATGGATACTGAAATAAACATAAAATATGCATCTGCTGTAGAGTTGTCTCTTTTGACTGAGCATACTTTATTACACTACTATTTGAGTTACTGTATACAGTTTAAGTCGACGTGAACATAAAATATGGGGACTGTTTCAGTGTGTCATATGAGAGAAACATGTATTTTACATTTATACTCTGACTATGGTTCAATGAATCAAGTCATTTTTTCTCTATGAAATTACATCTCATGAAATGACATTATTAAACATTAATCTATTGACGGTTGAAGTGTGTTAAGAAATTAAGGTAGGTACTTCGCAGAGAGTAAACACGCATCTTAAGTAACTTTGTCCTGAGGGTGCAAATCGTCTATAAAAATTAGTTTAAAATCTCGTTTCGTCACAAAAACTGTGTAAATTATCAACCAGTTACTGTAGCCTATAAGTTTACAGTGCAACTTAAATACCCTACAAATTCCAACAGAGTCCTATATTAGGGGAAAAGTAAAACGTAACTGATTCTGAACAATAATAATTCATAAATATATACAGTAGGTGTGTACGATAAGAAGGTTTAAATAACGAAACTTTAAATTTTATTTAATGTTTTGCGTTGCTCATTATAAACTCTAACAATAAGAATACTTCCGAGTGAATCGAGATAAGTTTTTGTTATGTAACAGATCGTTCACCCAAATATTCGCTTTTATACTCTATGTGTAAACAATAGACTGACCATGTGTTCCACATCCCATTGAGTTCCATTCCCAGCTCAGTGTGGGGTTACGTAGATAAATAGAATCTTTGACGTAATACAACAGTTGAAACAGAATCAAGTGGTTTTCAGACCATTTCATAAGATGGGCTTTGCCATAAAGGCATTCATCACGTCTTTTTCATTTATATTATTTTAGTGAAGAAAGTTAATAATGTAGTCTATCTTGCTATTCTATGTATCGAGTGTGACAAAACTAAGGTTGGCATACAGTTCCACTGAGAAATCGCAATTAACGCCTGAATGATACCTGAATAAGTAACAAACAACTTCAAAACTATTTTAATAAAATAAAACTACCCAGTTGAAATGGATTTCTTGACCTCTAGTTGTAGTAAAGAGCAAAGCGCCCTTAAAGTACTGATGGGTACTGATGGGTAAACGAACAGTATAGTCAATGATGATACACATGTGTTACAACAGAAAGTTTTTACAACAGGGTGAAAAGTCTTCTTACAGTATTCAAAGTCGAAGATTTTTCATGTTTCTAGGGTAAGGATTCTGTCACCATTTAACAAATTATAGAAATAGTCTACAAATTAAGAGAATAAACTAACCCACCCAAGCATTACCGAACTCAAACACAAGGAATTGTCTTCAACTGAATAATGGAATTATAAATTCTCCAGTGAAAATTTTAAATCAATGCCAATAAATATATATTGAATTCCTCGGCAAATACATTTCGCCAGATGACAAATGATTCATCACAAAAGGTTCATGAGTCAACTAAGGTTAACTACCAGCAGACCAGCCTAGTACCAATCTCGAGCCATATGTAGAAGACGCGTAACCAGGATTGCAAAAAGATTAATGCGAAACATGCAATGCGTTGTGTAAATGTTTTTGAAATTGCGATGAAAATGTATTTCAATTTAATGGCTATATTTTAGTCTATTTTCATATATTTTATCTATAAAATTACGGCTAAATAAGGGATTGATTGAGTTGAAGACAACTCAACTTAAAATGAGAAGATAGTTTGGTGTTTGGAGGAAACAAAAACTGACAAATATCTCAAGCAAAGAGTACTTTCTCTATATTGGAGTACTCACTCTAATAAAAGCTATAAGATAAATTTAGGATATGGAACTCGGGTACCGTTGCGGCCCTACAGAGTTGCAAGTGAGCACACTATATAAGACTTCAGTTTTAAAATAAATAAACCAAACATACAAGGCCTAAAAATATTACAATCTTTTGGATTTCAGTACACGAACTAGTAAGATTGTTATTAGTTGCAGTTTGTATGGCCTGAAATACGTTTAAATTGATGTTTTTTTTTATTTATTAAAGTGTTTGTGTTAACTATATTATTTGTTGCTACGATTACTATACCAGAGGGTCAGAAAATGACAATTCTCGTAATACTTTGGACAGTTATACAGTAATACCATAGATAAAACATACTCCCATTAATACTGACGATGAACAATTTAAAATCTTCAATGAGTGAACGGCTGGTTTATTGTTTAGAGAGCAGAACTGTTGCTCGGGTTCAATTCATGCCAGTCACCTGATTTTAATTATACATGTATTTGATAATAATGACAACTGGTAGTTCAGAGCCTAACTTACAGGGTTACATATATGGAAAACAAATAATTATAGGGCACGTAGGCAAAAAGAGCTCCCTCTGTTTTTTGCAAACTCCCTCAATAAAATCGATCATTTGAATAATGAATTGTACAACAAGTTTAGTTCATTCGCTGCTAACAAGCATTTATTAACAGTCACTAATAGAATGCAAGCTACGAATGTGAGATTAACAGTTTAACAAGTCTGGTATGTAAATAATGTACTTGAAGATCACTTCTCCTAGAGCGTACTTCAACACAACACGTGTACTTAGTAAGTAGATAACACTTGACTGGTGTTATTCACACGTGGCTATAACATATGCAAATTTAGACAAAATTACATGTGCAAAATACTGTAGCGTAGCGGGGGTTGTCCCGGATTTTAAAATTTTGGTACGATTGGCCAATTGCATAAGCGCAGATAAGAAAAATAATTACTTCAATTCTGTGCGTCATTCTGGTTTCGATTAATTTTTCATTCACATTTTCCTCATGCTGGCAGCCCTGAATAAAACCTGACATTCCCGAATATATCACTCTGTTCACAATACGGGAATTCCGTACGACTGACAACTTTCTAGGGATTTGACTTTAACAAACTCTCTAATAGCATTGTTCTATAACAATACTAGTGCGCAAACAGTTTAATAATAACGCGCACACACTATGAAGACAGTGGAATAAATATAAGAATATAAGTATATATAAGAATAAACGTGGCTGAATTATCGTAACTTGGAACAAATTAAACCCATTCACTCGAAACCGTAAAGATAAAGCTAATAGCTTTCAAACAAGTTGATCGTAAAATAACGCATAGCGATTGAGTTCATTCAGCTAAAACTCAAGATGTTTATATATATACAGTATTGTACAGTTATGAAACGAGAAATGAATCGTAAATCTGTAATATGAAAAAAACATTACTTTAGACAATGTTACAAATTAAAATAGCAAACAAGTTTGTTACATTTACCATTCAATGCTATTTAGAGCAAACTTCAGCAAATAACTAATAGCAAAAAGTAGCCTACTATACATGTTGTCAATAAAAAAATACAAATCGAAATTTAGTTTTCTTACACATTTTTTGTATAGTTTTCCAATAAATGTAATAAAAATTATTCGGCATTACGAATCGTGTTTTACTTTTCAAATCCCCACTTTACACAATGATTGATATTTGAAATTCCAACAACCTGATGATTCAAACTACAAAACAACACAAATGTAAAAAAATGTGATTCCCACCTGAGCGGGGTCCATTGCAAAGCCATTTCCCCTGGGTATCCTAGCCTGGCCGTTCCAACAGTACACTTCATCTAATCACCATGACACTCGTCTGAACTCACAAGTGAATAAGACAATAGTAAACATCAACAAACATACAACGGTAGCGACATGGCACGAGCGCTACCCAACTACTGGACTACTCTAGTAGCGGCTGAGCCTACGTAGAGAGATCTTGCATCACACCGCTGTTAACAGTCTAATAGCTCAATTCTCCTACACGCACTACTATACCGAGATGGAGCTGAGACGTACGAAGGTCTTGGGTTCGAATCCGGTTAATCACAAGTGTAGAATTTAGCCGGCAGAGAGCGCTCGATAAATAACTGACTTTTGACGGATATATAAACTTTGATAATCAACTCAAACGAGAACGATGTATTTGAAGACATGGGATATTTTGCCACTTATTTTTTATTGCTAAAACTAAGGGATGCAATATACATTTTCTCGGTAGCAAAGTCATCAGCAGGTGTTTCATTTGTATCAAATTGTTACAGCTGGTCCATAAAGATGGGGGATGGGGGATCTACTTGTGTCCAAAAGTCCGTGATAAATTAATTACATTTAAATAGACATAAATGTACTCCCCGAATTAGTTGTGGACAACAGGACATTTTCCCACTCGATGGTGTTAGGGGGTCGTTTAGGATAATGATAATACAAACATAAATCTATGATACAACTAATTTGAAAAAAAAATGAAAAAAGATATACTGTTTTAGCACCCTTCAAAAATTGAATGGTTTGATTTTTAAAAATAAGAGTACACACTAAGCCAAAATAACTGATCAAATGGAGGGCTATGAAATGTAAATAGTACAGTAGAGCGTGTTGCCTTCAATGGGAGGAATACCAAACTCAACACACATGCGTTGTACGGGCGCTCCACGGCACGGCGCGCGGCGAAGCTGTGTTAAAAATTAATTACAGTACTCCTTTTAATTTGTCTGTTATTTAACTGATTTGACCTTGTTTCAATTAGAAAACGTTATAAATAAACTATTTTTATATAGTCCGATAGTATTGTTTCTTTTTGATTTTTTTCCATTTCCTCTTCTACAGTGACATTAGGACTAGTATAATTTGTTGAGAGGATATAAATTAAGATCTAAAACCTAATAGGCCGATCACACATTTATTTTGACAAGTTTTGCGTTTGTTTATGAGTTCTTTCAACGATTGATACATATGGTTGATCTTAAGAGAGGTTTCTCTAAATATAGGCATCTCTCACTTATGATACCGTATGATATAACATCCTAAAAAATACTAGCCAAAAACGTACAATGTTATTCCTGTTTGGGACCAAAAAGTAACAGTAGTTGTATCATACGGATATTTTCTTCCATTACTGTAAATAAATATCCCAGCTATATTATTTCATAGATTGGAATAAACCACCGGAAGAGTGAACAGATATAAATTACCGAGTTCTGTCGAAAATATAAACATAACCTAAGCGGAAACGGCGAATCGCTAACTGCAGCATATTTAGTGTTACATCCACTATATCACAGCATCGAAAATATAGAAGAGCATAAATTTCGTCTGTAACAAACTTTGTAGAAAAATCGACTAGGTAGGATTCCGAGCAATTTATTCACAATGTTTCCATTGTTCATTTAAATAGTATTTATAGTATTACTGTAAATACATCCATCCTAAGTTAATTACTCCCCAACCTTCATTAAGGTGTAATTTTTGTGTCATGTTTGATTTGAAACATGCGGTGCTCAATATCCATTTCGCAGTGTGTTTTATTGAAATCTTTGAATATTAAAGTACTGTACTATAAAAGTATAAGAATCATTGTGCAGCCATCGCTCTACATTTGGTTTGGAGACCGACGTGTTGTGAAGATGTTGACGTCGTCTCAGATCGTTATGGAGCGAGTGATAATGAGGTCTAATGATTCTTTGATTGTTGGACAACCACGGAAACAACGACTATGCCTCGATATCCCCACGTATTTCTTGTCTTATCTCCCAGACTACCTTATTAACCTTATTAATATTTCTTTCTTTATTCACTCATTACATCTTACAAACAATGCACCGATTACAAAGACTGGACTTATGTTTTATTAAGTTAAAAACAATTAATTGGAATATGTTATTGTATTGGTACTGGCGGTGTGCTCGATCTTCGAAAGGGGATATTTTAACAAGTTGAAACCTTATTATATTTAGAACGCAGTTTGTTTCATACCAATTTGGGCTTTTTCCAGATATACAGGAAAATTGTTTTACACATAACCGTAGCAAAAAAATATCTGATAGGTTTTAAGGCAAACCAATTAAATACCTCACAAATTAGTGTTACGGGTAAGCCTACGCTAGCGATGGCAGAACAATAATTGTGAGTCAAAACCGAATTAGACACATTGGAAAAGCGAGGGTACACTTCCATATCTTCCATATCCATATCTTCCATATCTGGTTGGCACAAACAACTGTACCGATTTTCTTTACACAACCGAGTGAGTAATCTATATTCTATATATACTTATTTAATACGCAAGCAGGATTTTTGTGACAATTACTCCTCCGAAACTACTGAACCGATTGACATGTTTTTGGTGTCATTGGAAAGAGCGTAACGTGAAGTTGTGCAGGAAACTTTCTTTTTAGGTAAATAATTTGAGAGTGAGTCCCTGGGGCCCTTTAAAGTTTCGTATTTCTCCATAAGATTAACATGGGAAACAAACATTGTTTTGAAACTCCAGCTGTTGTCAGAAATTAAATATTACGTTTGCTTTGACATTTAAATGTAAACAACCAGAACTGTCAAATGCCTGAAGAAGAACACGTGTTGTTAATTGTAAACAGTCAATGTGTAAATTATCTATGTTGTATTAAAAATGTGTATAGTTTTGGATGTTGGTTTGTGTTTAATGATATAAGTTATTAATTATTGAATTTTTATTTTAAGGATTTGGCATATGAGTATGTCTATGATAAATAACTCCATTTCATCCTTACTATAAAAATAGTTATATTAAAATACTGAATTATTACCTCAATTACCTTTATTTTAATTCTAGAGTTCTGCCAGTTTTTGCCTAACTCTGTTCTGTAGAGTTTAAAGTAGCCTACACCTTATTGTCTACAAATTGGCTAAATAACTTAGGTACGGTGCTTAATAAAAGATGACAGCCTTTTTACGTTGACCTTAAATTATAAGCTTACCTTTTCCCGTCCATGGACAGTTTGATTGTTAAAAATTCGCCCTTTAAAATGGAAAAGGACTGTTATGTAAATTGTAAGTATTTCCATTGGTTGATAATCTTTTAGTTGGCTCTTTTGCTCTTTTAAAATCTTTGGAAATTATGACTGTTATAAGTTTTCAACCAAGTAATTTGTTTGTAAATAACTCCAGTACTTCTTCGCAATTGCTCGATTTCGAGCAACATGTACACTAGTATTGATTATTCGATTATTTAATTCAATATATCGTTTGGTTAGTTAGGTTAGGTTAACCTTACCTAACTAACTTAACCAAACGATGTATCGAGTAATCGATATATCGATAGATATTTTCATTCGGCTGTTTGTGCCAACAGGTCTGGAAGTGTACCCGAAGACGCATACGTAAACCTGTTACGATCTTAACGGAATCTTAAAGATCATCCGAGATCGCAGCAATACCGTATCAGTGATCACCCATCACCCACTGCAGTTGTGATTTTTTATTTGACACAACAGCCATCGGAACGTCGTTAATGAGTGGAAACCTCGATTGTAGGCTATTAGTGACGAGTACTTAAACATTTCCAGTTGCCCAGTCCTACACAACACTGATTCATGGTCTTTTTCCCGGTTATCAAAACTCAAGTACAGTACAATTTGGTATACGAAGAATCTCCAGCTTCCCGGCCTGCACGGTACCAGTATTTTCATTTTGTTTACATTTATACACTATTGTACTTGAGATCAATTATTGAATCAGTTGAATAAGTCACAAGTTGATTAATCTTCACTTGGTGTTAGATAACTTATGTTCACTATCGGAAATGTAAACTTAATGATCGGAAATGATTGCAGTTTGTAAACAACATTTCATGTAAACATCAGTTATTAACAGCTAGAAAAAATAATCTTTATTCAAAAAATGCTTATATTGATGAAGTATTTTCTAAACAGATGATTGGTATTTGACGAATTACTTATGTGGTAAACATTGGGAGAAAATGTGACGAAGATCGCTTAAAATTAGGTTTTTGGACGTTCGTTGTCTTACTTCCAAAGTAGAGAGGCCATATTGATATAGCTAAAGACATTCTCGCCTATCCAAAGAATACAATAAAACGATTTGAATCTTGATCCGGGACTCTAGTTTTTTCGGAGTAGATTTCATAAATTGGAATTTTGGCTCAATGACAGACAAAGGTGTAAATACAAGTAGGCTACGTACAACAACATGGACGCAGCTGACGGCAAAGTGGGTTCTCGCATTTATCTATTTTAGGCTACCGTATTTAAAAAGACAGTCATGTGGCCTGACGATTAAGGTCACATTTTGTCGATCAAACGGTGACCTTCGACCCAACAGCCAAGATGTGACGATCAATTTAAAATGTTTTCTATGGTTTTAGAGGTTGGAGACAATCGTGCGTGTTTTTCTCTTTGATATTATTATACTAAGTGATAAGGGGTGGTTAATATTTCTTTACTTGCTATAACAACAATGTACCCCCTGCTGCAGCAAACCTGCAGACCAAGCGAATTTCCATTTGTCTGATTGGATTTACACTGAAATGTCTATCACATTTATTCCCTATTTTTAAATAGAATTAGTTTAAAGAGTACTACGTTCAATCACCGATGAGAAATGTTTAACATTTTTTCAAAACATAAAACTCGCTTTTATCTCCAGTTGGTCACGTACTTCTTACCTTTATGACAACACAAATGAGCGCAACTAACTCGCCAGTTGCGCTCATTTGTGTTGTCATAAAGGTAAGAAACATTTTAGTTAAAATTTCTGAATTCATTTGACTTGGAGACGGTTTGAAATGTTAACAATGACCATCATTACAACGTTGAATATTCTGAACGTGTATTACGGAACAAGAGCTTAGTTTCTGACAGCTCAACTAGCGGTCGTTGTTTGTTTTA